TTGTCCCCAGGCTGCTGACCCTGGAGCAGAAGGAACACAGTGTCGAAATCTGCCAAGAACTACGTCAGTGTGCTGTGGATGACCAGTCCTTCATGTCGGTGACTAAACTTGGGTGTACGTGGTTTCACACAGAATTTCCAATTTGCTCTTTGTTCTAATTTGGTGTCCATGATAAAATAGCAGACATAATAAGTATAAATCAGCACACGTATATATATAAAATCCTCAGAAATCCCTTAAAGTCAAATCGATATCCTTCCCCTGAAGTACTAATAAAACATATATTCATTGACTTAAACCCAAAAACCCACAATTATAGTGAAAAAATCAAGACCCAAAGAGATTACCCAAAAATAAAAAAAATATATAAAAGGTATAAAAAATATATATAAAAGGTAAATCTGGTGATCGGGAGACCCTCTACACACGGAAAGGGGACTGTATACTCGGCTTGAGGAATTTGATGCTGTCTTGCTGATCTTATCATTTTTATATGTAAGTGGCTACAATAAATTTTATATATGATTATAATTCACATACTGATTCCTGGTCTGTTTGTGAGGTCCTGAGGAACAAGAGGATACCAATCTAAGGACACTCTGTACATATGTGGTTGATTACAAGTTGGAATCTGTTTGTTTTAGGGTAATTATGCACTTTATATATAGTTTGCAGTGATATTTTTTTAATTTTCTTTTCACATGAGTGCTGTGACACTGGAGTGTTTTTTTTTGCATGATACACGTGTGGCACTTTAGCTCTGGGATTTAAAAGGTAATATACTATGTTGAGATTTTGTTTTTTGAGGTATTTGAAGAGCACCTGTGATTGATTTGCATCTTCTTCAGTGGAGTAGGAAGCGTCTTCCTATCAAGAAACTGATCTTTGTTTGGACACATTATTTGGACACTTTGCATATTGGGACTTTATTTTATTTTTGTTCTTTTATATATATTTTTTTATTTTTGGGTAATCTCTTTGGGTCTTGATTTTTTCACTATAATTGTGGGTTTTTTGGGTTTAAGTCAATGAATATATGTTTTAAAATAGCAGACATGGTAACGCACATGGTCGGAGTAGCACCAGTTGCACAGCTCCCGATGTACACAGGACAATGTATTTTAACACACTGATTTACGAAGGTCAGTGCTCCTTGTGACTGTGAGTGCAGCCTTGTGATGCCATCTGTTGGCGTGTTACAAAACTAGTCTTAAGAGTTTTTGACACCACCTCGTATTGGACGATAGCTCTGAAAGTGTTTTTTTTTTTTTTTTTTCTCATCTTATTTTCTCAACGTGTGTACCAGGCTTTAAAGCGGAGTTCCAGTAAAAAAATAAAAGACTTTTTAAAAGAGAGCCACTCACCTGTCCCTTGATCCCGCGGTGTCCTCCCCGAATCCCATTTCACCAGCTGTCCTGTGTTCTCGGCGCCGGCATCTCTAGTGTGGGCACTCAGCTGTGACAGCTTGCGGCTTCACACCCGGGTGCCCACTGCGCATGCGCTAGTATTGGTGCGCTTTGTGAATGGCCCCATAGTCTACTGTCCCAGAAGACTACTAGGAGGGAGGGGGGAGGACAACTTCCGCTTCCAATCGCCTAGGCGATCGCAGAGGAAGTGGGAGTGTGGACGTGTCAATTTTGGGTATCCGTTCCCCCCTGCTCCCCAAAGGTGCCAATCCTTAACGAGGAGCAGGGGACCAATCCTTAAAGCGGAACTTCCCCTTTTGGGTGGAGCTCTGCTTTAATGTTAGAAAAAACTACAAATAAAAGTGACATGGTAAGTCAACATGTGTTCCATGGCACACTTGTAAATGCTGAGAGGGCCCCTCACAGCAAAACTGTCCCGCTTCAGCTTCCTCAAAAAGTAGAAGTGATTGTGTGCTCTACCAACCAGCAAGAATATGTGCTCTGACCATGAAAATTCTCCTGGAATTATTGTTCTTCAGAATGAAAACCATGCACCCACATTCTACCTCCACCTCATCTACTGTATGAATATTTGCTGACACCTCTTGCCGGCCTTTAAATGGATTCTGAATGAGGTGGGAGGAGGTGGAGATCCTGATCCTGTGACTGCTGTGATGGCAGTCAGATCATTGAGATACCTTCCCACCTTCTCCTGACCATCAGCAGTAACTGGGAGCACACAGTGTCTAGGGTTGCCACCTCATTCCTTTATGACCGGACACATATTAATGACACGGGTTCTGAGGGTAATTTATTGAAGATAAGGCACCAAGTTTAATTACCACCTTAATCTGCCACAGAACCCGTGTCATTAATATGTGTTCGGGTTTACCCACTTGCTTACCGGGCAGTTCTACCCCTTCCTGTCCAGGCCAATTTTCAGATTTCAGCGCTGTCGCACTTTGAATGCCAATTGCGCGGTCATGCAGCACTGTACCCATGTGAATTCTTATCATTTTTTTTCACACAAATAGAGCTTCCTTTTGGTGGTATTTAATCACCACTGGGTGTTTTATTTTTTGTGCTACAAGCAAAAAAAGAGCACAAAAAAAGTTTTTTCTTTGTTTCTATTATTAAAGTTTGCAAACAGGTAATTTTTGTCCTTCTCTGATGTGCATTGATGAGGCAGCACTGATAGGCACACTGATAGGCACTGATAGGCAGCACTGATGGGCACTGATAGGTGGCACTGATAGGTGACACTGATAGGCAGCACTGGTAAGCTGGCACTGATAATGCTGCACTGATATGCAGCAATCATGGGCACTGATAGGGGGCACTGATGGGCACTGATAGGTGGCACTGATGGGCAGCACTGATGGGTGGCAATGACTGATGGAACTGCTGGGCACTAACTGGCAGCAATGCTGGGCACTGATGGGTGGCACTGCTGGGCAGCACTGATGGGTGACCCTGATGGAGAGCACTGCTGGACACTGGTGGGTAGCACTGCTGGGCACAGGTGGGAGGCACTGCTGGGGACAGGAGGGTGGCACTGCTTGGCACTTGTGGGTGGCACTGCTGGGCACAGGTGGGTGGCACTGGTGGGTTGCACTGCTTAGCACTGCTCATCAGGGCACTGGGAGGATGTTATAGGATGCCCCCCCAGAATTGGACAACTGCGCTGTAGCCCGGTTGTCAAGTGGTTAAAGGGACGTTAGTCCCGGAGTGAAAGAAGGAGAAGCCTAGATGCAGGGCCGACATGACTGGGATAAAAGGTGTTTGACATAGTAGGAGTTGTTTGTGGATCAAATGAATGGGATTCATGAGTACTCATCAGATTGGTGGATATGGCTGTAGTTGGTGGGGATTCAGGGATTTGGGATGTAGGAGGGTTTGGGCAGTCTTTAGTCAGAAGAAAGCTTGGTCGGGACAACTTCCCACCCTCCCTCCCTTGTTTTCTAGCTTGTGTTGCTTTTTGAAAAGTTACGTACAAGTGCTGTGTATATTACGTCATGGCAGCTGGTGGGGTACAAGGTCCTTGGATGTGTTTTTATTATTGGAAAAAAGGGTACAGTTGTAGGGACCCGTCAGGGGTACAGCTCCCATTATTCTGGTTGGTGGAACCTAGGATTATTGGTTTTTCTCCGAGTCCATGTTTCTGCGGCTGGAGGTCTAATTTCCTTGAGATAATTGCCCACAAGAGCCTTTTAATAATGTACTGAATGTTAATAAGTTGATATGTTGTTTATATTTGGTTAATAAAAGGCTGCTATGGTCATTACACTCCAATTGGTGCCATGTGCGGTTAATTAACTAACAGTAGTTGGTGTAGTGGTGGACCGGCAGCATTGTCAAAGCATCTTCTATACCCTAGTCATGAGATGGCAACCCTAAGTGAGCTCTATAGCCTCTTCCAATCTCCTCCAGGGTTTGCCTGCTCACAGAAAGTACACAAAGCCGGCCACAGACATAAGCCGATAGCAAGGGTGCTAGAACCCGGCCACCGCCACATGTGCTGCACCGCCAACTTGGTCAGAAGTTGACTATTATTTTGTAAATCTGTACACTGAATTCCAAGAACATTTTCTTTACTTAGGGTGGCTTGTATTTCTTTGTTTTAGACGCTGTTGTAATAACTTAGTTAAGCATCGTATTGTGGTCAGAACTGTGAATGCATATTTATATTTTTCTGAATTTTGTCCAAAAGCAGATCCCATCCAATCAAAGTCAAGAGCAATAAATGTGAGTAACTGAACAGCAGTACTTTATTAATATGCAGAAAGAAGTTTAGAAAACACCAAAGTGTACTAACATCCTACATGTGTTAGAACAAACATAACACCCACATTATATAAAGGAAACATATAGGGGGAGATTTACCAAAACTGGAGGGTGCAAAATCTGGTGCAGCTCTGCATAGAAACCAATCAGCTTCTGACTTCAGCTTGTTCAGTTAAGCTTTGAGAAAAAAACAAACAAACTGGAAGCTAATTAGTTTCTATGCAGAGCTGCATTAGATTTTGCACCCTCCAGTTTTAGAAAATCAGCCCCTAAGTGATTTTATATCTGGTTTCTTTATTAAGCCTGGAGTTGGGCTTCAATCATATTCTAAGTCTTTATTTAAAGTGTTACTAAACCCCGGACCCTGCATTCACTATATCTGCTCTCCCCGGACCCTGCATTCACTATATCTGCTCTCCCCGGACCCTGCATTCACTATATCCGCTCTCCCCAGACCTTGTATTCACTATATCCGCTCTCCCCCCGGACCCCGCATTCACTATATCCGCTCTCCCCGGACCCTGCATTCACTATATCCGCTCTCCCCGGACCCTGCATTCACTATATCTGCTCTCCCCGGACCCTGCATTCACTATATCCGCTCTCCCCGGACCCCACATTCACTATATCCGCTCTCCCCGGACCCTGCATTCACTATATCCGCTCTCCCGGACCCTGCATTCACTATATCTGCTCTCCCCGGACCCCGCATTCACTATATCCGCTCCCCCGGACCCTGCATTCACTATATCCGCTCTCCCCGGACCCCGCATTCACTATATCCGCTCTCCCCGACCCCACATTCACTAAATCCGCTCTCCCCGGACCCCACATTCACTGTATCCGCTCTCCCCGGACCCTGCATTCACTATATCCGCTCTCCCAGGACCCCGCATTCACTATATCCGCTCTCCCCGGACCCCGCATTCACTATATCCGCTCTCCCCCCGGACCCCGCATTCACTATATCCGCTCTCCTGGACCCTGCATTCACTATATCCGCTCTCCCCGGACACTGAATTCACTATATCCGCTCTCCCCGGACCCTGCATTCACTATATCTGCTCTCCCCCCGGACCCCGCATTCACTATATCCTCTCTTCCCGGACCTGCATTCACTGTATCTGCTCTCCCCTGACCCTGCATTCACTATATCCGCTCTCCCCGGACCCCACATTCACTATATCTGGTCTCCCCCGGACCCTGCATTCACTATATCTGGTCTCCCCGGACCCCACATTCACTATATCTGCTCTCCCCGGACTCTGCATTCACTATATCTGGTCTCCCCGGACCCTGAATTCACTATATCCGCTCTCCCCGGATCCTGCATTCACTATATCTGGAATCCCCGGACCCTGAATTCACTATATCTGGAATCCCCGGACCCTGAATTCACTATATCCGCTCTCCCCGGACCTCACATTCACTATATCCGCTCTCCCCGGACCCTGCATTCACTATATCTGGTCTCCCCGGACCCTGCATTCACTATATCTGGTCTCCCCGGACCCTGCATTCACTATATCCGGTCTCCCCGGACCCTGCATTCACTATATCCGCTCTCCCCGGACCCTGCATTCACTATATCCGCTCTCCCCTCTCCCGGACCCTGCATTCACTATATCCGCTCTCCCCGGACCCTACATTCTTTCTATCTGGTCTCCCCAGACCCTGCATTCACTCTATCTGGTCTCCTCCCCGGACCCTGCATTCACTATATCTGGTCTCCCCGGTCCCCGCATTCACTATATCTGGTCTCCCCGGACCCTGCATTCACTATATCCGCTCTCCCCGGACCCTGCATTCACTATATCCGCTCTCCCCGGACCCCGCATTCACTATATCTGCTCTCCCCGGACCCCGCATTCACTATATCCGGTCTCCCACAATACACAGAACATGGAAATGCAATTATTTTAGTAAATATAAACTGCTAAATCCCTTTTCTCCTCAGCAGTATATAGCAGCCTTGTGACCTCTATCAGTGTCCAGCAGAGCACTGGTTAAACTTGTAGAAGGAGTTTCCATTTTGCTCTGGGAGGATGCAGAACACCTAACCTCTGTCTGGACAGTGCTGATTGGCCCTGTGCTGATCACATGCACTCTCTCAAGGAAAAAAAAAAAAATATCTTTAGCAATACACACCAAGCTGAGCATGTGCAGAGTGACTCCACATGTCTTATCAGCAGATAAGAGGGGGACACTGGAAGAAGGGGAGGATCAGAGAAGACAGGATCAAATAGCCTTTTTACACAATGCAGAGGATTAACCCCTTAGGTTCCACAGTGGGTATAACAAGCATGCTTTACTGCATCTACAGACTGATTGTACTGTTGGGGGTTTAGTAACACTTTAATTAATTCTCTGCATTAGGGTAAAAAGCCTTGTGCAAACAGCTTCCCCCTCCCAACCCCCCCTTATACTTAACTGAACCACATCTCAATCCAACAGTTCTCTTGGTTCTCTCCCTCCACATTGGCTCAGACACAGCAGCTGGAGCCATTGGGACCCATTGCTGTCAATCACAGCCAGTGAGAAGGGAGTGGAGGGTGGTTCCAAGCCATGCTTCCCACTCAGAGTGGGCCTTGGGAGCGAGTAGACACGAATGTCCCCATAGCAAGCGGTTTGCAGTGGGGGCACTTGGTGGGGAGGAGCAGGAGTGCCAGCATAGGACCCGAGAAGAGGAGGTTCAGGTAAGCTCTGTGTAATGGTTTTGCACAGAGCTGCCCTGAACCTCCTCTTTTCAGGTCCCTGCCAGCGCTCCTGGCTCTTGCTCCTCATAAGCAGGAAAATATACCATGTTTGTTATTTATAAAAATATAAACCTGCCTCTACAGTCACTTCAATTGTCACTGGTGAGCAATAACCAATCCTACATAACTATTACAATAGGCTGCCATGAATCAGAGCACTATTCAGCTTACAATTGGGTTCAAGGCGCACCACTGTATGCAATTCTTTTTTTCATTGTAGAACTTGTACACATAATGTTTCCCTTCTTCTTAAGATCTGTGATTTCTGCAGATCAAATCAATGTCCGGTTCTATCCTTTACACTGGAGCTACAGTTGGAGCATTTCTGTCCTATATAAATGTCAGGTACAGGGGCGGACTGACAACTCATGGGGCCCTCGGGCAATAGGGGATCATGGGCCCCTGTGTCCTTGCCCTAACTCAAAAAAGCCTATGAAAAAGATACCAGAGGCATCTCATGGGGCCCCCTACTGACCCCGAGCCCTCGGGCAGTGCCCAAGTTTCCAAATGGTCAGTCCACCCCTGGTCAGCTATATAATTGGTGGTGTACCCCGGTCTTTCTCATATTCTGACATTTGACTCCAAGTTATATTTTCATCTTCTCAGACAACATCAGCTCAGGATATTCCTGTCATTGGTGTCTTCTCCCGTTCAGAAAAGTCCATGTTTAACTGGTTGGACAGACTGCTGTCATCTACAGAATTTGGAAACCATCGGGTCATATTTCATCAGATTTCTCCTGACAATAAGATGGGATTTCAATCAGCGGTATCGCAATGTAAATTCGGGATCCTGTATCACTGCATGGATCGGGGGCACAAGCATTTCACAGATCTAGAGAATTCTCTGTATGATGAAGAGCTGCAATACTTGTCAACTACGATTGGTAAGAATCTAGGTGAAGAGCTGATTTCTTTACCCCATGGTTCAACAATACTCACTTTACTTTCTTAACAAAGAAGGAATGGTCTGCCTCCAAGGTAGGCCTCCTCCCAATGTATGGATTACTAGATATACTGTGTGTTTCATAAGTGGAAGAGAATTTGCAGTTAGGGATGACAATTTGCAGAGGTGCTGTCATGTAACTGAGGAACATGAGATGATGAGGGTGGCCTCTTGTACAATTCCCACCCGAGCACCTCTTACGGTTTGGACAGGAGCTGCTAGGGCAATGGAAGGGAGCAGGTGCTAGTGATGGGCTGAACACCCCCCTGTTCAGTTCGCAATCGAACATTCAAACCTACCGAATGTTTGACTGCAAACTTTGAACACAATTTGCTTAGCAGTATCTTTCCACGTTTGAGTATGTGGTAAGATCCCGTTCAGTTACTAAAATATGGCATGAGTTATATTATGAAGTCATGCAGTGTTTTTAGCATGCACTGATGTTTCAGCTGTCAGTGGGGTTCCCCGCTGACAGCTGAATGCAGGGCTGTGGATAAGGGGGTACCCCCAGCTCTCCTGTATGGGACCCAGGCCAGCAGGGGGCCCAGGAAGCTGGGTGAATCGGATGTGGGCAGAAAGGGTGAGCAGGGCATTACTGGAACCAATCCTCTGTATGAAGAAGCACAGCAGTCAATCACTCAGACTTCAATAGAGAACAGTCGAGTCACAAGCTGAGTTCGATAACATTTCACAGATCTAGAGAATTCTCTGTATGTTGAAGAGCTGCAATACTTGTCAACTATGATTGGTAAGAATCTAGGTGAAGAGCTGATTTCTTTAAACCCCAAATGGTTCAACAATACTCACTTTACTTTCTTAACAAAGAAGGAATGGTCTGCCTCCAAGGTAGGCCTCCTCCCAATGTATGGATTACTAGATATACTGTGTGTTTCATAAGTGGAAGAGAATTTGCAGTTAGGGATGACAATTTGCAGAGGTGCTGTCATGTAACTGAGGAACATGAGATGATGAGGGTGGTCTGTTGCACAATTCCCACCCGAGCACCCCATAAGGTTTGGACAGGGGCTGCTAGGGCAATGGAAGGGAGAAGGTACTAGTGATGGACCTCCTTCTGTTCAGTTCGCAATCGAACATTCAAACCTACTGAAAGTTTGACTGTGAACTTTGAACACAAACAATTTGTTTAGCGGTATCTTTCCACGTTTGAGTATGTGGTGAGATACTGCTCAGTTACTAAAATATGGCATGAGTTATACTATGAAGTCATGTCAGGGCCTGGACTGAGCAAAGCTAAAAGGGAGGGCCAGCATGACTGGGGCGTGCAAGACCAGGTGGAGCGTGTATTTGGGTGGGAGTATATGCAGGAGGTAAGGGGGTGGTTACTCACCTGATTGGAGTACGCAACCTTGAGGGGTGGTCTTGCCAGGATTAGGAGGTGGGTTGGGTCTTGTCGGAGGTCAGTCGGAGCTTGTGTCAGCACGGGGGGTGGTTTCTCCCGCCCTCCCTCTCTGGAGCTTTTCATGTTTTGTTTTGCTGTTTTGGTTCTGGTTTGTTCTTTGTGTTTGTCTTGTGTGGGTTCCTTGAGTTTGTTTCTTGTCTGGAAAGGCATTTGTGTCCCGAGGTGTTTGTCTGGTTTGTTTTGTCATGGCAGCTGAGAGGGATCTCTGGATCTTTGAAGGCGGTGCTGGAGTGATAATTTGATGGATTATGGGTTGGGCCCATCATAGGTATGGCTGTTCCTTCCCAATTATAAGGTCACGTTGGTAATGTGGGAGTTCATTGGCTGTATCTGGGACTACGTAACTGTAGTATTGTCCCCGAGGTGGTGTAGTAGAGGCTGGGGGCCTTTTCATTGGGTGTCAGATATGGTCGAGTTTTTGGATGTGAGTAACAGTGCCTTTGAAGACCTTGGACCCGGTTGGGATTTTTACTGTCAGTTATTATTTGAGTGTACTGTAAGAAGTGTTATGTTAGAGTTATGTTAAATAAATGGGCTGCTATGGCCGGTTTTACACCAAAAGAGAGTCGCGTGTTTATTTAGGTGGGGGAGGTTGAAGGGTGGTGGTGGTTTTTTATGGATTAGGGTAAGTATTAGCCTCGATATTCTGCATGTCCATCAGTCATGCAGTATTTTAGTAGTGAAACATGCACTGATATTTCAGCTGTCAGTGGGGATCCCCGCTGACAGCTGAATGCAGGGCTGTGGATAAGGGGGTACCACCAGCCCTCCTGTATGGGACCCAGGCCAGCAGGGGGCCCATGAAGCTGGGTGAATTGAATGTGGGCAGGAAGGGTGAGCAGGGCAATTACTGGAACCAATTCCCTGTATGAAGAAGCACAGCAGTCAATCACTCAGACTTCAGTAGAGAACAGTCGAGTCACAAGCTGAGTTCGATAACAGTTGAGCAGGTAGTCAAGCAGGTAGGTACCAAGCTACGATCAGTATCAATGTCAGGGACAAGCAGAGGTTGGCAACATGCAGGCCGCGAGGTTCCGAACTAATAGGCAAAATCTTGGTCAACAGCCCTGGTTAGGGTTGTAATAAAGGTAGGCAGAAAAATAGATTAAATCATTTCGGACTTACCTTAGAACTCCAGCGGCACATTGTCACCACTGACAGGACTTCCATCTGCACCTGGTCTTCCTTCGTAGGCTCTGGCCGTGCCGCAATCATGTCACTCCCGTGTACGCGTGCAGGAATTCTCAGCAGTGGCACAGAGCTTTGAAGGAACGACATGGGAATGCCATTCCTTCAGAGCGCATGCGCCAGTGACGTCTTCAGCTGCAGGGACACTGACTATCTCCTAACTGGTGCATGTTTAGGAGATATTCCTTGTACCTACAGGTAAGTTCTGTTATAAGCCCACCTGTGTCCAGT